AAAACAAAAACCAGTCATAAAATTTCAAAACTGACTTACATATTCAAAAGGGGAAATTCGAAAAATGTTAATTAAAAAAAATAGCCATTGGGAAACACCAGGCCTCTGTTAAAATGTTCCATTCCCAAGTCTCTGGGTTTTCTAATTCCATTTGACTTCTTGTTTCTCAATGGGCAACTGAATGAGAATTAGAACACGGAACCTTCTGTGTGTCATCAAATTCTCAGAACGAGAGAGTTTGTTGAATGATTTGTTCACTTTTAAGGATGTGGATTATATTAAAGTAGTCCTTCAGTGTTTGGAGAACTAATGTTTCAAATGTTATCCGTTCCGAGAATCATGTTTGGGGAAACTCCCTCATCAGTTTTTAGAGTTTTAGTGTTTGTACAGCTTTGCTTTTTTCTTTTTTTATTTGTTGAAAATTCGAATTTACACATTTTGCCACCTTGTAGTCTGTACAGTGGTGTTTGGAACGGAATTCGGATATCCCAAAATTTCTAAAATTCGAAAATTTTTTGTGTTTTTCAAAGGTATTTTCGATTTTTTCAAGAGTTTGAGCTTTTTGGAATACGGTATATCAAAGGCGCACGGGGTAATTTTATTTGTGGGTATCGAGCCAAAAGTTCCAAAGTTGTGAAAATGTTAAAATCGGAATATTCCAAAATTCCAAAATTAGAATATCGGAATATTCCGAAATTCCAAATACTTTCAAATCGAAATATTTAGAAATTCCGAATATTTTAAAATTAGAATAGTCCAAAATTCTAAATATTTTGAAACCGGAACATTCCGAAATTTCAAATATTTCAAAATTGGAGTATTTCGGAATTCCAAGTATTTTGAATTCGGAATATTCCGAGATTCCGAGATTCCAAAATTGCAAATATCTTAAACTCTGAATATTTGGAAATTCCGAAAGTTTCAAAATCGGAATAGTCAGAAATTCCAAATATTTTGAAATCGGAATATTCTGAAATTCCAGATATGCAAAAATGGAAAAATTCCAAAATTCCAAATGTTTAAGAATCGGAATATTCCGAAATTCCGAATATTTTGAAATCGAAAATATTCCCAAAATTTTGAAATCGAAAATATTCCCAAAATTTTGAAATTCCGAATATTCAAAAATCTAATTTTCCAAAATTCCGAAATTCTAAAAACTCCATAGTCAGAATCTACGTCATTCCGCAAATTTTTAAAAAGACCATTCCAAACACTTCTCAGTCCGCCAGAGACTTTTAAAATTTTTCGAAATGCTGTAATATTAATTTTTGTTTTGAGAGTTTAACATCCCCCTTTGTTCATTCCCATATTTTCTTTCTTAAATTTTCTAAAAAAATCTTCATCTCTGATTCGAAACCCTCTCAATCTTTTCTTTCCTGCCAAATCATCGCAACTAATTGAAATCGTATAGTCACGTGTCCAACTCACATTTCAAAAAATCCCGTTTAACGATGCAGAACTGACGAGTATCGTGCAGCTTACAAAAAAAGCCAAAGAGGATTTATTCTTCATTAACGAAAAAAAACGGGACACGAGGGGTGCCCGTTTCTTCGCTGCCAAAATGTCATGGTTTTGACGAGCTTTCCTTTCTTAAGAAGTGCCTCTCTCCTTTTTTTCATTCGTCCTCTTTGCATAACGCCGTGGATGTCGGCTCTATCTTATTTTCACTAGCAGCCTGTTCAGAATGTGGGCTTATTCTATGAACTGGTGAGTCTAGTAGAGCTACTGTACTGTGTTTCATTGGTGACACGGTTGTTTGTTTGACGAGAAAAAAATCTGACGTCAATCTGAGCAATGCTTCTTTATCTCTACAGGCTGAACAACGGAGGAAACATGTTCTCATTACTTGAACATCGAAAGAGGTAGTCTGATTTTTTTTTCATTTTGTGTTAAATTTTCGTTCTGTGTCAGTGTTGAAAACTGAGTTTTGGTAGCTAGCCATTGATACTTCCATTGATAAGAATCAAATTCCTTTCATAGGTGAAATTTGAAAAAAAAAAGTTGATAACGAAAATATTCAGTAGTGACTATTCCAAGAAAAGTGAATCACTAGCTGAAGTCATTAGTGGGATTCGAAAAAGCATAAGGATGATGAATTTTCAACAAAGTGTTAATAGTTTGACAAAGTGTCAATAGAAAGAGAAAAAAGTTTTCCTAAGTTTTAGATCGATTTTCAGAAAATGTTGGTTATTGTAGTCAATTTTTTCTTAATGAACGAACAGTCCGGACCACAATAATAACAAAAACTTGTTTTATTGGGGTTACTGTAGCTGTTCCAGTCTCGTTCCCCACTTTCTTCTCCTAGATGTGTTGATTACAGTTCAATAACTCAAAGTTAAATCAGTTTACTTAACATTGGAGCAAAATTCGATAGTATACTGTATTTTTTGGGCTTCTGTCACCAAGATACGATATAAAGGCACAAACTCAAAATTAGAAATGCTGTATTTTTTTTGAATTGAACGAAATGGTATACTGTAGTCTGAAAACAACTTTACTAAAAATTGGCACAATCTAGAATGATATTTTCTTTCTATAAAACTAAAAAGTTGCGCTGTTTATATATTTTTCAAATTATGTGATTGTTTGAAAAATAAGAATCAGACATTATTCTACTCGTCACACCCGTCATAAGAACAAAACATCCATGGACATATCTCGTTTTCTGTCATCTTTGTTCCCGTCATCCTTGACAAATTAGTATCCTTACAAGATGAAAAATATTCACACAATGCCACCAAACTGAAAAAAAGCATGATCCGAATTTTAAATTTTTTTTTCCTTCCAGTATGTCGTTCCATCTTTGTGAAACTAGGGTTAGTGTGAAAAATGAAGATGCTCAGAGGCTAGATATGAAGATGGGAAAGAAAAATGCGTAGGGGGTTTTTCTTGTGTTATGTTATGACTTGTTACCTAACCGTCGGTTTTTGATGCTATCATTTTTTCTAGGCCATTCCATTTTTTTTTTGGTTTTTTGAGATAAAAAAGCATAAGAGAAGTAACAAAATTTGATTAGTACACCCATCTATCCTACTCAAACAGAGAATTTGTGGTTAGTTATATTTTAAGTGTTTTCCTGTTTTACAGTAATTTTCACTCTTTGTTTGTCATCATAGTCAATGTGAAAAAGGCTGATAAGTCTAGAGCCACTTTTCTATTTATTACTCATATGGCCTAGTTAGAATTCCAAAATGTCAAAACTCCGCAATGAATGAATCAGAGTCAAATGTTTGAGGCACAAAAAAGAGTTCTTTGACCCGGGAAGCGTATTTTTTTCATAAATTTTTTTTCAAAAATCTAACCAAGTGGAAAAATCATCATAATGAGTGCTGCTAAACTTTTTCGCTAGCGCTAAACTCGAAATATGGTGTTAGTGACAACTAAAAACCACGTAACAATGAATGGAGAATTGAATGGAGCCGGAATTTCAAGCCAGCAGAAATAGATCAAATGATGAATCAAGATTCCGCGCATTTCGACTCGCGAGGCACCACTCCTGTTTTCAATTCTAATGGATTGGCTTTCCAGCTTTTTTGGTTCCTCTATTCCTCTTCTTTCTTTGTTATTGGTTTGGTTTACCAATTGGGAGGATAGTGAGAGTGGACGCAAGAATATTTAAAATGGGCTGGTGCTTGTGCCTGTGCTTATGAGTCACAAAGCCTACTGATAGGTATTTTTCATCTCGTTGTATTCCCTTAAAAGTTCCCACATTTCAAGTGGTGGGCCATATTTTTTTCTTTTTTCTCTCACTTTCTAATGGGCACCCCACTTATCCCAAAAAACCTTCAAAACGTCCCGTTTCTTAACTTCCTTCCTCACTTTCAAAAGTCATTAAAAATGATTGATAAAGATTGCTTTTTCTAGAAAAAAAAAGTCAAAAACTAATTTCAAAATTTTTCCTGTCTACGAAAGGGATAAAAGAAAAGACTAAGACCGAAGGATTACTGCGGCACCCTTTTGAATTTCATTTTAGATTACTGTATCTGTCTCTACCCATCTTGTTTGTTATCCTTTGTCTAGGGTAAAGGATAAATTTGATCATTGATCCCTTAATTTGGGATTTTTGGACTTTAGATAACCACGCGGCTATCATTTATAGAGTGGTTCCCCTGATAATAAATGACGCGATAAAAATAGTACTCCTCAAGTTTCAGAAATGTCTTGGAAAGTGCAATTAAGGCCTGATTTATATAATTGGTAACTCTTTTTAAGGCTTTCTAATTTTAAAATAGCTTATTAAGAGCTGCGAAATTTCGAGCTAGCGAAAATCGAAAAACGTTGTATTTAACAAAAATTGAGCTGATTTATCTAATTGGGAGTTTGTGGTGCTCACGGTTTAGACTTACAAGCTGCGAAGTTTTGAGCTATTTGAATTTAAAAAATGGCAAAAATTCCAAATGTTGGGCCGTAGTTTAATTTTGTAGTCTGATATATTTTTAGACAGCTGAAAGTTAAAAAAAACGGAATTCCAGAATATTCATTGACGCTGATAATTCAAATTTTCAGAATTGTTCAATTCTAAATTCTAGGGTGAATTTTTCTCTGTAACATTCAATATTAGATTCACAACTCAAAAAAAACCATTCTGGAATGTGCAACCGGAAATCCTGGGATGTGCGTAAAGCGAATTTTCCAACTTCCGGTCTGAACTTTCATATTCTATTTCATAACCTATAAAATCTTTCGAATTTTTGAAGCCCTCCTATGATATCCGCCCTTATCTCTTCTATTTTGCATACTTCACGTTTTTCACCTTTGAAAATGAAAATCGCTGTCTGCTTGAATGGTTTATGAAGTATCTCGCGCGTTCTCTTCTTCAGCGCCTCCTTTCTTCCTACCTGCCCATGCACTCTAGCCATTCATCCCTCTCCATTTTTTTTGTTTCTCTGCCCCCCCCCCCCCCAAAACCCCGCCCCCTTCTAAGAAGGCGTTGCTCTTTTTCGAAAGCGAATCATTAGAGCGGTTCTCTGTCTACAAAACTTTCAAGTCCCCATATTATGTCCGCTTTTTACGAGGAAGCCAAGTTCTTAATATCTGATGGGGACAAAATGAGGTGAGGTTTTTTTTGTTCCAGGAAAATGACATCTTCCCTTTCTTTCCCTACTTGGGTTAGTGGGCGCCGCCTATCGTAAATTATTCAAACGGTTTTCGTTCTCGTTCTTCTTCCTTTCACTGCACTTTTCACAATTTTCGCGTGATTTCAAAAATTTTCGGTGGGAAAAGAAACCCGGCTCATCTCCTAACCTCATCTTGAAGATGTGTTTTGCTTCTGATCGTGTTTTGCTTTTGGGTTCTAAAAATTCACGTTTCAACCTTTTTTGATCTTTGGAACTGTTTTAGTTCCTTTCAGTTCCTTGACATTAGAGTCAGAACTGAAACATCTGGATGCGTGGCAATCAAAATATCAGCCGTCACTAAACTTTTCTTATGTCTGAGACGTTTTCATTTCCGTGGTTTTTTAGTTCAATATACGCATTTTTTGTTAGTCTACCCGTCTTAATTTATGATATTTCAGGATTGATACGTATGCTGTAGGTCGTAAAACCATGCAACAAACCGAATCCTTCAAGGGTACAATCTATGAGAATGTGAGTTGAATTTTAGAAATTTTTTTAAATGGGGTTGTTTCTTTTTCATGTGAATGATATCAAAACTGCCTGAACTGATAAAGTATTGATGCTATTATGATGAAAAATTTGTCAGTTGACAGATTTTCCGCATTTTCAACAGAAAACAAGAAAAACCATATTCCTCTAATAGAAGCCCAAAACCTGTCTGGAAGTGGTGTGCCGACTCTGAGCGTACAGTACTTCTGATAAAATGATAGACGCCTACCCAAACTGTCAATGTTGAGCTCAATTATCTCGATTACTGTGCAAGATATCAAAAATTAGTCAACTGATAAAATATTGGTGATATTATGATGAATAATTCACTAGTTGACAAATTTTTGATAGCTTTCCTAGGAATTGAGATAATTGAACTCAAAGTTGACATTATTAGAAGTACGGTAGGCTGAAAATTGACACACCCCTTTTACTAATAACGATGTTTGTTTCTCTGACCTTTCATAGTTCAATCTTCATAACTAAAACCCGAAACTCACTGAAAAGTGCGTGTGGGCGTTTGCTCGGTTTCCTCCAGCTTCCGTCTATATTCTTTCATCCCAAGAGGCAGGCACAACACAAATTGGAAAAAAAGAAGAAGTAGGAGAGTCTTCAAATTAATGAATATCTGAAAACGTCTCCGGGTTCTTCGAATTGGAAAAAAAAGATATATTGCAGCGAGGAGAACAAGAATGACTCGGTCACGCGAAAATTAATGTAGTGGTACTGTAGTCAAACTCCAAATTAATGAGAGAAGGGGGCCCTAAAAGCTGCACTTCCGCTCAAAAACAATTCATTCAACAAGAGCAAAAGTCCTGAAATCCTTTAGGATGAGCTGGAGGAAAGAAACTGATTCCTACTTTTTCATATTATCTGTGTCGTCAGAACATAAAAACTGCAAAACATCTTCTGAAAGGGCAGACGCAGGTGGAAGTAAAGATGAGTGACTTTTTGACTAATGAGGACTCATGAGTCTGGTATTAAAGAAATGATCACGAAAAATCTTTGAATGTGCATTTTTAGATCGGTTGAGAACGCTTTTTTGTCACTGTCTAGACCAAGAAGAAAATTAAAAATTCAAATATTAAATTGAAAATTCAGATGAGCTTTTATTCCGAAACATTCAGAGGCCCTACTATGAATCGTCTAGACCAACATTTGTCTCATGTTTCTGGGAAGGTATCAATTTTTAGTATACCAATGTCATCTCTGCATAATCTTTTTATTAAAAAAGTCCTCAGCTCACTCATTGTAATCCTCTTGATGAACTATGGTCAAGGAGGATAAAAGTTAGGGGGAAGGGGGGGGGGCAATTTGAGGCATCATGAATACGATATGATGGGAAAATACCTCCGCGATGAGGACCCTCTTCTTGCTAATCGGATCATCACGAGTGGGCCGATATTCAGATGACGTGATAACGCTAGAGGACTAGAGAAACGAAATTTATTCCATGAACTTGATGGATACAATTTATGAAAACATTTCGAGCTATGAGAAATTGAGCGGCAAGAAGCTACAGGTGACTAGAAGGACAATTAATAGAGTTTCTTGATTTTTATCCCTAATTCCGAAATTTCAGTTCACCTTGGTGTACGCACTCCCATTATCCAACCATGATAACTCATCTCTCATGCTTATTGCTGGATTCTACGCCTTACTATTCATGTTCGGAACTTGTGGAAATGCTGCGATTCTTGCCGTGGTTCATCATGTCAAAGGACAAGACTCGCGTTCGCGTCACAATACCACCCTGACCTATATTTGCATTCTGAGCATTGTCGACTTCCTATCAATGCTTCCGATTCCAATGACCATTATTGATCAGGTAAGTCAGAAATTTGCAGATTGGCAAATAGTACCTTTTCAGTTGATTTGGGTCATTTTCACAGGTCTGGAACTTGGATTTCAAGTTTCAGATCACTTTGAAGATTTTTAAAAGTGTAAGACAGACCTAGATGAAAAACTTTACATCCACAGAACTTTCGGAAAATTCCTCTAATCGCCGATTCCTAAAATGCACAAGTTTCAGCTCATTTTTGTACTGAAAACGTAAAAAACAGGTGTCCTTCTGAAATCGACAATAAGAGGAATTTTCAAATATTGCTGTGAATGCAAGGTTTTCAGTCTAGGTCTGTTCTACATCCTCCAAAGTGTTCAAAGTGATTGGAAACTTGACAGCCAAGGTCTAGACTAATGAAAATGGGCAAAATGAGCAAAAATCAACTTATTGATACCTCATTGAATATCTCATTCCGGTACTGTATATCCACAAAAATTTCAGATCCTCGGCTTCTGGATGTTCGACACGTTCGCTTGCAAATTATTCCGTCTTTTGGAGCATATCGGAAAGATTTTCAGCACTTTCATCCTCGTGGCATTTTCTATCGATCGCTATTGCGCAGTTTGCCATCCGCTACGGGTAGAAACTACCGTAACCCGCTAGTCAAATCAAAATTAAAATTTTCAGCTTGCCGTTCGCAAACAACGCTTCGTGTTCATTTTCCTCACTGCCATGTTCGTTCTCACTTGCGTAATGCTCTTGCCAATATTGATTTTCGCTCATTCTAAAGTTAGTCTATTTTTAAAAATAACTTCATCAACAACAGCTAATCACACGTTTGCAGGAACTTGTCATGCATGAAAAGTTCGACTTGGATCAAGAAGTCATCACTCGAATGCATCTCTACAAGTGCGTGGATGATCTTGGACGCGAGTTGTTCATCATATTCACGCTCTATTCCTTTGTTCTGGTGGGTGGAACAATGGAAAAAAAATACGAGAAAAATGAATTTATTTAGGCCTACTGCTTACCGCTTCTCTTGATGATCTATTTTTACTACGAGATGCTGCTCAAGCTCTTCAAGCAGGCAAAAGCGTTGAACAAGACTTTGAATGGGGGCCGACGAGGGGTTGGAGAGGAGAAGAAGTTGACAATCCCTGTTGGACATATTGCAGTGTACACACTTGCCATTTGTCTGTTTCATTTTGCTTGCTGGTAAATAATTTGAAAAGATTTTTTTTGGAAAATTTGAAGAAAAAACTGATTTTTCAATATTTAGGACTCCATACTGGATCTCAATCTTGTACTCGCTTTACGAGGAGCTCTACCAGGATGAGAAAACTTCAGCGACACCACCAACCTACGCTTTCATCTACTTCATGTACGGAGTACACGCACTGCCATACATCAACTCGGCTTCCAACTTTATTCTTTATGGACTCTTGAATCGGCAGGTAAATCACAAAAACTGATAGCTTGAAAGGATTAACAGCTTTTGAATCCTTAACAAATATAAGAAAAATTATAATTTTCATTTTTCATCGACCAAAAATAGTATTATAGAAAATTGGGTACTTTTTCAGCTTCACAACTCACCGGAACGCAAATATACTCGTAGTGGTGCTCCAGGTGTCACTCGTCAAGCATCTCATGGATTGACAACAGGTACTCGACCAGAATACAGCGAGCTTATAACTATCCGTAAGTAAAAAAGCGCCTAGACTCTAAAAAACACTGAAATTTGGAATCCTCATAAAGTACCGCTCATGAAGATATACGAAAACAAGGTTTTAGTTGATTTGGATTATTTTCAGTAGTCTAGAGCTTGGCTATCAAAGTTTTGAACTAATTAAAACTTCGTAATCTCAGTATTTCTTTTGAAAATTCTTCTAATTGCCGATTTCTGAAAAACACCCCTTTTTGGCTCATTTTTGTACTGAAAACGTAAAAAAACAGGATTTTTTCAGAAAACGACAATTAGAGGAATTAGAAATCGAAAAAGAAGATATTTTCGAAAAATTCGGTGAATACAAAGTTTTCAATCTAGGACTTTTTTATAACCTTCAATATTTTCAAAGTGATCCGATATTTGACAGCCGGGCTTCAAACTTCTGCAATTGATAAAAATCAACTGAAAAACACGTTTTTCGACTTATTTCTCGCTATTCCAGCTACCCACGTCCGACCGGATTCTCGTGTCTCCGCAATGGTTGCCGCTAACAACAATAACAACTCGGAACACTCACCGCTCACCCAAAACCTGTCGGCTTCCGCTCCAAAACGAGTTTGAATCTATTCCATCTCTTGTCTCTTGTCCTTTCATCACCACCGTCTTGTGTTTTCGAATTGCTCCGAATCTCTTGGCTAATTTTCAAAACAAAACTGCTTTTTGTAACTCACTGCACATACACACACACCGTCACTTGTCACGCTTTCTATTTTTACCAATGCCTGCCTGTCTTTGTCTCCCCAGTTGAACATTTTGCCACTCAGGTTACTGCCGCATCCGTTGTCCCAATGTCGGCCGCTATCGACGAGAACGACATCTTCAACTGGATCACTCCTGACACGGAATCTGTTGTTTTGTAAAAATTCCTATTCTCTTTTGCAACTAATCTTTCTTGAATTGCTTCGTTTTGGAATCATCTGAACTTTTGCTTTTGCTTAAATTGTTTCTCTTACCACCGAAAATAACATTTTTAGAAATCTAAAACAATTGAAAATTGCCAATAATTTGTGTAATGTATTGTATCAAAATGATCTCATTTTGGTGAAATGTTTATTTCTTCATGTATCCCATTTTTGTGAAATGAAGTTTAAAAAATAAAAATTTAAAGCATCACTCAGTTCATAATTGGCTGAAATAATTGAATAACGATACGCATTTTCCCAAAAATCCATGATATGATATCAGCCTTTTTCCGATCCGAGGATTTATAGTCAATGACATTTCCCTTTTCAATAGCTCGGAAGCAAATTGAATTGCTGCTTTCAACTAACTACAGTACTGGTCCAAAAGATATACGAAAACGTGCTTTCCATTTTATTCTCGGTAGTTTTGGCTATTTTCAGGTGTCTCGAGCTCGGTGGTCAAGTTTGCAATTACTTTGAAAATCTTGGAAAGTGCAAAGCAAAAACTTTGCATTCACAGAATTTTTTGAGAAATTCTAGTTTTTCTGCTATTAGCTAAATTCCGAAAGACATCTTTTTAGACCGTTTCAGTCATCTAAACTTGAAAAAAATAGCCAAGACCTTTTAAATTAGTCAAAATACCGTAAAACCTCTAATAGAACGACACCCGGATCGTCCACTTTGAGCCTATATATCTCACTTCTTTTGAAAGATATCAAAAAGTGGTGAACTAGTGAAATGTTTATCAGGATATCAGCAACATTTTACTAGTTAGCCACTTTTTGATATCTTTCACAGAAAATGAGATATATAGGCTCCAAGTGGACGATCCGGGTGTCGTTCTATTAGAGGTTTTACGGTAGCCGAAATGCAACCGAAAAATACATTTTTTTATATCTTGGTACTGTAAGTGCATCAAAATCTGAGTAAATTTGTAAACTCGGAGATTGTATCAGCATTTCTCAGCCCGCTTGTTTCTAAAATTGAGAAAGTTCTGATAGCCCCGAAGTACCCTCAGTGGCCAGGTTGTTTCAAAATATTGTTTTCCCTTACAAAAATTCTAGTTTCGAGCAAAATAGCAGCCACCAAATAACAGCAATACCCATACTTGTAAAATTCCGGGCTGGCCCGCCGAAACCCGGGCCCAGCCCGGGCCCGGCCCGGAAGGCCCGGTAGCAAAAATTTTGTCATTTTGAACCGAATTTT